ACACCTCTGGTACTTTTAACTTTCTTTCAGTGTTTTAAGTGAAAATATAACACAGGAAGAAACAGTGACAAAGTCTACGTAGTCAATATCATAGCCAGTGATTATCATTAAATTAATAATCTCTAAATCCATACCTCGCATGTATGGGGGATTTTATCCCGAATCCTAAGTATGGATAAGTCTATGCCTAACACGGGTTGTCGGTTAGTCTTTGACCGTAAAAAAGACGAAAGTCCACGTATTCAACATCGTGGTAGGTCGTTATTAATAACGTTAAAATCCATACCTTACACGTATAGGGGACTTTATCTTGATCCCTAATTAGAGATAAGTCTGTATCAAAAACATGTTGTCGGGTAGCCCATTCCCGTAATAATGGTAAAGTCTACGTATTCAATATCGTAGCAGGTTGTTATTAATAACACCAGAATTCATGCCTTACACGTATGGGGGACTTTATCTCAATCCATAATTAGAGATAAGTCTACGCCTAACACGCGTTGACGGCTAGTCTTTTCTCGTGAAAATAACAAAATCTATGTATTTAAAATCATAGCATCAAGTCTAAGAGGGTTCATTCTCTTAGCATAACGTTACATGTGAAACGGATTCATATAATTCACATGTTAGCCTGACTTAAACGGTAGTCGGTAAAGGTTTATCAAATCCGTTGATGGCTGAAGGTTTGCTAAAAATCCTATGCATGTTTGTAGGCCCATCAGCTTAATTGATGTGAGCCGAGACTTGAAACAGATGAGCTAAAGACAAGTCTCAAAGACTTAGTCAAAAATACATGAAGAGCCGAGACTTGAAACAGATGAGCTAAAGACAAGTCTCAAAGACTTAGTCAAAAATACATGAAAGCCACCTCCGCGTCTCAAGTCAAAATGCCGAGGTCAGACTCGCGTTCCAGAAGCAGGATTATGACGTGTACCTTCATACGGGTCCTGCGTGACAAATCCTTTCAACCAAGATGCCTTTAAAGCGGGAGCAGAGAACAACTCATTTATGACAAGGAATCAACAGGTCCAAGATCAGAGTTGAGATCCAAAGTATTCTAAAAATTCGTCTCAGTCAATCGCGAACTTTTAAAAACTTTAGAGGGGGTTCTGTAGACTGTCTAAAAATCACAACAGATAGCTGATCCCCTATCAAACACCGATTATGGAAGTTACAATCTGACAACTTTCAGAAGGTTATAATTTAAAGATTTTCACATAGATCGATGAAGGTTACAATCTGACGATCTTCATAATAACCGATGAAAGCTCTAATTCAAGTCTTCACATTCAACATCGAGAGTTACAATCTGACGACTATTATGTTTTTAAGGAGTCAAGATAAAGATTATAAGATGACGGTCTTTGCAATACTCTAGCAAAAGAGACCACAAATTAATGGTCTCTTAACATCAAAACGCAGAGGTCATCCCTGTATTTCAACCTCAAAACGCAGAGGTCATCCATGTGTTACAACCTCAAAACGCAGAGGCCATCCCTGCGTTATAACCTCAAAACGCAAAGGTCATCCCTGTGTTACAACCTCAAAACGCGGAGGTCATCCCTGTGTTATAACATCAAAACGCAGAGGTCATGCCCACGTTTCAGAGTCAAAACGCAGAGGTCATCCCCAACGCTCTAGTTAAAAACGCAGAGTTCACGGACTCAAAACGCAGAGTTCATCTCTGCGTCCTAACTCTGCGTTTCAGATTTACAACGCAACGCGACTTGTGCGTTCATCCACCAAAATAGGCCTAACTCTGCGTTTTAAGTCTAAAACGCAGAGTTCGGACCCTGAACGCTATTTTTTAGCGTTTGACTCGTTCAAAGCACGAACTGAACGGTTTTAAAACGTTTTCTTCACGATTTGGGGAGCAGTTTAAGGGACGGTTACACCACATTCAGCCCTACTTAAGAGAGAATTAAGGGGACGGTTACACCCCTTAATCACCTATAAATAGAAATAAACTCAACTGAGTTTGGATCTTTTTTAGATCTTGGAGTATCTTGGAGATCTAGAGATAGGTTTCTTCGGATCATCTTCGAGCTTCCTGTAGCAGATCATCTTCGAGCTTCCTGCAGCAACAAAATTCTTAGAGTATTCCATTGGCTTATTAACCGATTTTTCGGTTCAAATCAATTTTTTTTCAAGAGTTTAAACTCGCTCTGAGTTATCAACTCGTTCAGAGTTTCAAACTTACTTTGTAAGTTCTCTATAACGTCAAATCGTGAAGAGAATATATTATTCTAGTGAATCAAGACGTTCGGATCGTCAACAGAGAGCAAACTCGACGCGAGCATTTGAGGGAGGCATTCCATCGTGATCGTGAAGAACCCAGAATTAAACAAATGAAAGAATTCAGATCAATTCTCCTCTTTTTGTAATCAGAAATCCAAATTGTAATTGAGATTGAGAGAATACAAATCAAATATATTTCTTTTAATTTTTCTTTTTACTATAAATTTTCCACCAAACATTTGTTCTTGACATTGGATGTGGAAAGATAAATTTTTAAGAAGATGCGAATGCGGCAATTAGAGATATCCATAATGGGTTAGAGCAACACTCGATTTTTAGATACTTTATGGATAATATTCAGCGATGTTGCACATGAGTCGAGGAATGAGATTTTTAGATAGTTTGTCAAATGGAGAATATAATGGCTCATGTATTGGTCTAAAGAGCAAAGGAAATGATTTTATGGTATTGGTCAAAGACTCACCATCATTTTGCACAATGTTTTACAGTCTTATAAGGAGCAACGTTAATCCTCTTTCTTTTGCTATGCTTCTGGGTTTTCAGTTTAGTTTTGATGTATATTAATATTTTTTTCATGAAAAAACTATTGCAATACAATTATGGAATCCTAGCTAATAAAGTAATTTATGACATCTTCCCTTCTAAACCCACAAATAATGCATTTAATATAAATTTTAGTGAGAAAATGAACCTATAATTAAGGGATTCATGTATATTCTTTTACTGACTAATCAAATTCTCTTCATTAATTATACACTAATAATTTCTTGACTTTTCTACTTTCATAAACATTCCACTTAGACAAGAGTTGCTTAAAATTATGCTATATATGGATGCAGAAATGCACAAAAGGAAAAACTAAGGAGTCAAAATAAAAAAAAAGGAGGAAGTGAGAATTTTAATAGTGGAATCGGTCCCTCGATTATAGTAACCAGGATACATTATAGTCAACATGATTTCATAGGCGATAATTAAGAGAGATAATTGTATTGCTTTTTTGAGGAAATGAATACATCTGCAACTGGTTTCACCTCTAATTTACGAAAAAATATCAATCTATTAGTTATACAAGTATGAAATTTTGTTGAGAGAAAAACTAATATAAATGTCAATAAATTCATGGCGAGTGAGTGGTTGGGGACTCTGTTTGAGTCCTCTTTGTTGTTCTCAAAAAAAGTCGTCGGCATATGCAATGCGAGATGGCCTTCAAATGTTTTAGTCTTATATCATTGCTTAATATGCATCACGTGCAAAGCACATGTTAAATACTAGTAAGTATAAATCAACAATCCTAGAGTCTAATCCCCGCATGTTATTATATTTAGGATACTTATTTTCAAAATAAATTCCCATACCTCATCCCAGAACCACATGAAAAGTTTTTGCTTGTCACTGCTCCATCTAGTGCAATTGAACACCTAGCTACATAAATTTAACACTTCCTTTTCTAATACCTAACAATTAACTTGTCAGGTCAGTCCTATACTGAGTCCATTTTTCTGCAAATTTGGAAGCAAATTCAAGTAGATGGGAGTTTTCAGGACATATAAGGTCTCAAAAACTGAAGAATCTTCATTACCAACCCACTTCCATAATTTATAAAAAGACATGCATTCCTATATCAGCAAAATTTTATACTAGGCATAGACATCAAATGCTTTGAATTTTCTAAAGGTTTTTCACGTAAACCACCTTTAAATTAAAATGGGTGGTTATACAAAAACCTTCTTCAAATCTTCAAAGTTTAATTTATACAGAATCCACCTTTAAAGGGAGTTCTGATTGCAATCAACCAACTTGACCAATTTTCTGTGAATTTCTGACAAAATTTCCTAAAATACCCTTACAAAACACATGTGCCAGGCATGTGACTTGCCTTCTTAACCAAACATAGTATTTGACGTATGTGTTTTTTAAGGATATTTTTGAGAATTTTAGTTAAAATTTCATCAGAAAATAGTCAAGATGGTTGATAGCAAACGAAACTCTTTAAAGGTGGTTTTTCCATATAAATTGAACTTTGAAGGTAGTTTTCGTACAATCATCCTATGTCAAAGGTGGTTTCTATGAAAAAAATAATAATAATAAAATAAAAACCTTTTCTAAACTCTAAACAAAACCTTTTCCAAAACAAAAAAAAATTTAAAACTAAAGCTAACCTTCATCTTCAATCTAACCAGAGTAAAGCCTTATATTACTATCATGCTCCACATAAAACTTCAACCTTACAATTCAGTTAATAGATTCCAACATCAGAAATTAGGTACCTAAACTTTGCCTCATTTGTAGAGAACAAATTTTCACTGTAGACTCAAACCAACTTTTAATTACCAAAATCGACCTTTTTTTTTAATTACCAAAATCGACTCACTTTATGCCACATAAACTTAATTCCATTTCCTAATTAGTCGGGGTTACCAACCCCGACTGTTTAGAAGGTTGTTAAACCCCAATTAGAAATCTTAAACCCGATTTTTAATGCTCTAAACAGTCGGGGTTGGCAACCCCGACTAATTAGGAAATGTGATTAAGTTTACGTGGCATAAAATGGATCAATTTTGGTAATTAAAAAAATGGGTCGATTTTGATAATTAAAAGTTGGTTTGAGTCTACAGTGAAATTTTGTTCCATTTGTAGACCATGTGAAAACGCTCATGCATACAAATCTAGCAAACACCCGAGCGTTCTAAAACCCTTAATTTAAAATACACTGAATTAGTAAAAAGACCAAATCCGCTTACAGTTTGTGAAACACGGCGACAGAAATTCCCGCGCGCATATTGAGAACGAGGCAAGGGATCGGGATCGTCGCGGCGGCG